CCCTAGAAGACCTGGGCAAAGAGGAGGAAACCCTCCCAATGGGGAGGGAGCCCCATTTCTGATTTTTTTACTCCATCAAAAGTCAGCAGTGCCCTATTTCCTGTGTGAAGGGTGACCCTGGCTGTGATCCCAACAGGCAGACACTTCTTTCCATAGTGAAGATGAATGTGTGTTGAGCTATTCACACATTTTCAAGCCCCCCCCCCCATGACAAAGGATGTATATTTATGAAATAGCTGGTTGAGGGTAAATGGGTATATATAATTTTTTTTTGTAGCCATGAAGTATGGGTGTTTTTGCTTTGAGATTCTCTGGCTGCTTGAAGGATCAGATCCCAATCTTGCTCAGTCTAGCAGCATAAGCTAATCAGAAAAATAACCAGCATGAATGTTCTTTTACCCTTAAGAGGAAAAGGAAGAGTTAAGTTGTATTTTAATTAGATATTTATCATGGTGGCAAAGCAGCTTTTCAAGAGAAGTTTTAAGAAGCTGGCCTTCCTTCTAAGGCATAACTGTTCAAATTATCCTAAAAAGAGGCTGTATATCAGTCCAATCCAGTTTGTGATAAATTTACAACTGGGTTCTGCACAGCAGATTTATATCAACAATTAAGCAGAAGGAAAATGGGTCATAAATTTTGGCTGGTACAGTCCGGCACCAAAGAGAAGAAAACAGAATGGTTTGGCCAGATCAGAAGTCAATAATTTCAATATAAAGTGCTAAAGCTATAGGAAAAACAATTTAAGTGGAAGAAGTTGGTTTTTTTCCTTTCCCACCCTTTTTGACATTATAATTGTATGTATATATTTTAAATATAATGAAGTATCCAAACAATAGTCTTTATCAGAAAATCAGTACATGTTTTCTATTTTACAAATGGTATAAATTTTTCCTGCTTCTCCAATATTGAATTTAATGACTGCACTGCCTCTTCAGTGTGACAAAGATGACACGGGGAACAGAGACTTCTCCAGGAGCTCAAGTAACTTCACACAGGAAGTGCAGTGGTCTGAATGTGTCCCGCAGAACTCAGATGTTGGAAATTTAATCCCCCAATTTATATGTCGATGGTATTTGGAGGTGGAGCCCTTAGGAGGTGATTGGATTTAGATGGAGGAGCACTGAACTGGATCTGAGACTGAAGGTTCAGTCTGGATCAGACTGGTTTGGACTTTCTAATGCCTGTAAGAAACCTTTGAGGTCTAGCTGAAGTATCAAGGAAAGGGGAGGAGATTTTTCAGAGCACATTTAAAAGAAATAATTGGAGAAAACGCCAAAGGTTTCATGTTTGGACCTCACTTAGTTCACTCTGCTCAAAATCTCAGTTACTCAGCTGTCCTGAGATGACTAGGGAGACCTTGCCTGAGAAGGATGGGGCCTCCCAGGGAAAGTGGAGCCAAGAGAGGGGAGAGAGCAGCCAGCAACAAGGCAACAGAGCATGAGTTCCTGGTCAAGCTGCTCCCACAGGCAGTCTGACCCTCCAGAGTTGGCAGTTTGGGGAAGTCAGTACCTCCATGAACCAAGCTGGGTTTTTTTGCTACACTGTCTGAAGCTCGGATACAGTGTGCATATCCATCCTTTCTCTTGGAGAAGGATGTAGCCCTCAGCGGATGTCCAGAGGGCACTGCGGTAGGAGGAAGTGGCTCAGGGAGAAGAAGCTCTGGAGGTTGCATCAGCGATCTCATTGACAAACACAAGGACAGGCTAAGGCGCAGCGGACGTTCTCTAGGGTGTCACAGAACAGCTACATCAGGATAGCCATCGGCGTAGGGAGGATCTGGAGCCCTGAAGCTGGCATTAACTGGCACTCAAGAAATATTTGTTGAATAGAAACCAGCAGGAAAATTATAACAAGTCATACTTTACATGCAAATTTTCAGGAATATTTTCAGGAAAATATCAAATGTGTGAACATCTAATCTGCATTTCCATGTCCTGACAGATGGCCCAGATTAACAGAGCTTTGATTATAGTAAAAAAAAAAAAAAAAAAAGAGAGAGAGAGAGAAAAAAGAAAACCTACAAATACTCACTGAATAGGTATGTGAGTGAGGCTATACAAAGCAACACTATGGTGACTATCAAATTTATGTTTCTAAAAAGACAACTTCTCTGTATTCCTATTAGTCAAAGACCACCAAAATGTTACCCAGGGAAAGAGAATGAGTGGAGCCTGCATGGCTGGGGCAGAGCATTGGATTCTCAGAGGAGGGGTCTGGGCCCTGAGCAGCTACCACCTGCTTCGGAATCATGGGAAATCTTTATTGAAATGCAGGTCCCTGAGCCCCAGCCCAGACTCATGCAATCAGAACCTCTGAAGGCAGAGCCCAGGACTCTGTATTTTAACAATTTTCCTATATGGTTTTATGTGCATTAAAGTTTGAAGCCTTTTCTTGCTGCAATCAGTTTATTTGCCCATGGAGTCCCCTCAGTGCCTTGCAACATGGGACATTGTCCTCTGGGGGAAGAAGCTGCAATCCTAGGCTGGGAGACTGAAGGAAGCCAGGCCTTGGTGAGACAGCATCGCCCTCCTTGAGGTCAGAGCCAGGTCAGTCCCACCAGAGATAAGGGGCTGTGTGCATGGAGTACATTAGCACACCCTGACATGACCACATGTGGAGCCAGGTGGCACCTCCTGGGGTCCTGCAGCTCTCTAAATGATGCTACATTTTGGACTTGATTATTTGCTGCCTCTTATTGCTCTGGAGGGTCTAATCTGGAAGGGAGATATTGTTTAATAGTTATAACTTATTGTTTCTCAGTTGGCTACTAAACACCCTTCGGGTGAAAGTCATGGCTTCTACCTCTTGGATCTTCTACCAGCTTCCACTCACCCAGCCTCCACTGTATCTGTCAGGTGCCAAGCACTTGTTAGATGTTTCAGGGACTTTCCTTTAATCTGCCTTCTGGTTTATTCATGTCTGGGGGCCTTGTGTCCCGCTGCAGCCTTCCTGGGACCCACCTTATGCTTCCTACAAGAAGTCACCCTCCCAAGTCCTTGGTCATTGGGTTTGGGTATGATCAACCCCAGGCTGGGCCCATAGGTGTCCCCAGCCCCCTGACCATGACAATTTGCTCCTGAATGAGCAATTACCTTACATTCCAGTCAAAGTGACCTTTGTGACTCTTGCTGGGAATTTGAGGCCACAGGTCCTCTTTCATTCGGGCAAGGAGCAAGGAAGTATGTGGTCATAGACATTGCTACCAGGCCTCCCAGGGCTTTCAGAGGACAGCATGATTGAGAATGGGCCATGCAGGAGATACAGACAAGGTCTGAGAGTAGAGAAACCCAGATCTGAGCACATCTTTGAGGCCTGAATAAAGATCTGCCTAAAGCCACATTTATTCTTGAGTTGTGCAATAATTTGTACTCACAGAAACAAATTTATGAATTTATTTTATTTTTGTTTCATCTTGGTTTTGCTAAAATCAATTTGAGTTGGGGTTTTTTTTACGTATGATGAAATGAACCCTCATATGCCTTCTGACTCCCCTTTCTCTCTTGTAGTAGTAATGTGCCCCAGTCATCTTGATCCTCCATCCCCTCTCCTCAATTTAAAGCAAATGTTAAATAATGACATATGAAACAGGATAAGATAGGGTATAGGATTATTGGGATTCATGCCTTGCAGAGACTCCATGCCTGAAGCGTATTGATTAATGGATCAATGTCAATCTGAGGGAAGCCCTGTCCTGCTCAACATTTTAATCAGTGACTCAGATGAGATGGGAGATGTGCCTGGCGAGTCTCGGGTGACGCAAAGCTGGAGGACCTGCTAATGTGACAGATGGGGAAATCAAGACTCAAAATTATTTTGACTGACTTGTGGTATAATAAGGATAAATATGAACTCTTGCATCTAGGCTCCGAAGATCAATCGTAGGGCAGGGGGCCAGGGAAACCCAGCTTGGCAATTGTCATAACAACACAGAACTTGGTCTCAAGTGGAGCCAAAAGTTAAGGCAATCAGTGACACAGTTATGCAGCTTTCAAATGTTTAAAAACGTATGGACAATAATGTTGAACTTGCCTCTACTTCCCCAGCAGGATAAAGAAGTGGCATTTTCTGGGAAATTGTTTTCAGCTCATTGTATTAAAGTTTTTTTTTCTAATGAAAAGGAACCCCCTTCCAAAATTGTGCATGCGATAGTAACTATGTCAGGAGGCGATGGAATCTCTGATGGGGGTTTGCCCCATAAAGCACAGGCTCCTTTCCTTTTTCTTTTTCCTCTCGCTCTCTCACTCTCTCAACACTGGGGTTTAAACTCAGGACTTCACCCCAAGCTACATCCCCAGTGCTTTTTAAATTTTGTAACAGGCTTTTGCTAGGTTATTAAACTGCTCAGTCTAGACTTGGACTTGCAATCCTCCTGCCTCAGCCTCCCAGAGTACTGGGATTGCAGGCATGATCCACCATACCCATCTTGAAGCAGAGCTTTAAAAAAAGAAGATGATCTTTTTTTTTTTTTGTACGGGAGATCGAACTCGGGTCCTTGTGCTTGAGCAGCAGGTGGCGAAACCACTGAGCTAAATCCCCGACCCAAAAGAGATGATCTTTAACAATTTATGGGTCAAAACAATTATGATACAATAAACATCCTGAAAAGGCATGCGGTGGGAAAGGAGCTCAGCTCAGTTCCCGTGGAACTCACTGTGAGCCCCCAGAGGGAAGCCCCAGAATTGCACTGGACCCGCGGCCAGTCTTACCTTCCTGCACCGTGGCCACCTCCCCGCTCTGAGTCTTCATGCTTGCTCCAGCTCAGTCTGTCCTTGTGTCACTGTCCCTTCCCTGGGGTCCTCTTTTCTGCCTCTGTCCGCGGGCAGCACCCACAGTCAGAGGCTGGGCAGCCACACCTCTTCCCAACCTCTGCCCACTCACCCGTCCTTCCTGGACGTTGTAAGTCCCTGGCCAGTCTCCTGGGCTGTCCCATGACAGTGACAGTGTGTGCACCATTTGTCTTTCCCCTTTCTGTTTTCCTGAGCACTCCATTTTCTTGGCAGCCCAGAGAGATTGAGCAGCAGGCAACAGTCCTACTTCACTGTAGAAACATCGAGTGTGATTTTGGCAAGGCGTTAAGAAGAAGTTTACCCCTAGCAACACTGAATCCCCCAGACCCCAGAACTCACCTGCCTCTCGTGGAAAAGGTCCACCTCTCTCAGAAGCCTCTCCTGGCAGTCCAGGTTGGTGGCCAGCAGGTAGGTGGCGAAGGAGAGCGTGTTGGTGACGATCTTGTGGCCGGCGATGAGGAACAGGAAGGCCTGGCCCACGATCTCATCCACAGTGAGTGGCTGGGACAAGGGCCGGGGCTGGCGCTGTGCAGAGGGGTCCGAGCTACGTGCGGCAGAGGACAGGGCTTCTCCGACAAGGTCGAAGTGGTCCACACCCACGGAGCTGGCAGAACACCGGGCATCCAGCACCATCTGTAAGAAGTCTCTCGGCCGCTGAGGACAAAAGGGGACAACACACATTTGGGTCCTGGTGTCACAGGGCAAGGCTTCTTGGGGGACAAAGGAAGAAGACGTGTGGGTGTAGCTTGTAAAGACTCCTGCTGGGCACGGCTTGTCACTGGATTATCTGGGGTGGTGAGGACCTGGAAGCCACCCAAATGGCCCTCTGTGTAGCACCAGTTTCACAGCTCTGGGGCAGTGAGGTACAGACTGCAGTGATCAGGAAAAGGAGGCGTCTAAAGGGCTGGGAGTGTGTCTCGGGGGTGAGTGTTTACCTGGTGTGTGTGATGCCCTGGCTCTTTCCAGGGTCTCTCTTAAGTTGTCCAAAGGTGGGGCTCAAACTTGCAATCTTCCTGCTTCAGCCTCCCTCAGTGCTGGGCGCTCATGTATATACCACCATACTCTTCCTTCCTTTCCTCTTCCCCCGCCCAGTACTTAAGATTGAGCTCAGGGCCTTTGCACCAAGGAATATCCCTAACCCTTTTCATTTTTTATTTTGAGACAGGGACTTGCTAAATTGCTAAATCACCTAGATTGGACTTGAACTCATGATTCTCCTGCCTCAGCCTCCCAGGAAGCTGGAATTACAGGCATGTGCCACAATGCCTGGCTGATTTTACTCTTTTTTATGGCAGAGTCATACTCCAATGAGTCATACACACTTCCTTTGTCTGTTCAGGAGGAGGCCATTCTGTCTGGGCTGATCTAGAAGGGTGTGGCATCACTTTGTTAAGTAAGAGTAGCGTGCACAAAGGGATTCCATTTCTGTGAAACCACTGAGTGTGCAACAGGTACAATTATGTGCATCCATCCACGTGAGGAAAATATTAAGCAACATCTACCCTCACCTGTTCCCAGGGAGCCGGAAGAGGAGGGAAACCAGGGGACATTCAGTTTTGACTTTGTACATGTTTGCTCTGTTGGTTGTTTTCCTACCAGCAAAACAAGAAAACACCTTATAGGTTTAAATCAGAGCACATGCTCTCTTGTTCTTGTGCATAATTAGGGGCTGTTGTGGGCAGCCTGCATTCTGTCTCATGTGGCGGTCAACAGGGCCAGGGTGAGGGAGGGCACTCGTTTGGTGAAGCTTGTCTTTGAAGTCCCCAGACTTAACATTCTCCTTCCCACTGAATTTCCTTTTCTCTCAGTAATCTCCAGCCCCATTTAAGTGGCCAGAGCTTTCTAACTATTCCCCCTACCTTTCTTATCAGTAATTGGCATATTCTTTATAGTTTTATGACTACTAATTCTAAGTATAGAGGTGTTTGTATATCGCTTTAGCATTAATAAAGTGTATTCTTGGCACATGCCTTCTTTGAAATGCCCTTTAATGTGATGAACAGCAACCAAAATGTTGCTCTTTTCTGAAGTTTATGGGATTAAAACAGCAAGAGTCTCAGAACCTCCAACATCGAAATATTATAATTTCAAAATACTATTTGCAGCATTTTTCAATTCATTGGCTTCTGAATTTCTATTGCATGAATAATTTATACCACATACATTGGCATCCAACTCCATCTTTTTAGTTTTTTTTTTTTTTCTTTGAGACAGGATCTTGCTGTACAGTCCAGGCTGGCCTTGAACTCAAAGGAATCCTCCTGCTTCAGCCTCCTGAGTATTGGGATTATAGGTGGGTGCCACCACATATGGCAAGTCCATTTTTTTTAGATTGTTCTCATCTCATGTGTGTTGCTTTTTCTGTATCATGAGATAATAAGCATCCCTCAAACAGGAGCCTAACTCTTAGCTCCCATCTATGCCTAGCACTGTGCTGAGCACATATTAGTTATGCAATCAATAACTGCACAAATCCAAATGCAGAGCTGTCGATGCACTTTGAGGAAGGCTATGTCGGGTTTGATGACAATGACATGCTGTTTAGAGTAGCAGGTTGGCTCAGGGGGCCTCTACCACACTGCTACTTCCTGGCTTTGTGGCCTTGGAAGGCATCTGCTGAGCCCCTGGCAGGGCTCAGGGCAGAGGCCGTGGGCACCACTCACCTGGAGGCCAAGGCTTTACTTCCTGCCAGCCTTCCCTGGCTGTAACAGCTGAGAAAAAGGTAAAGGGTCAGGGAGTGTTGGTGACCTTGCCCCACCTGGGCCCTGCTCATCACAGCATCCCCATGGCCTTCCAAGGGCTGCATCTCCAGCATCCTCCTCCTGCTTGGCCACTGTCTGGGTGGCTGCTGTGGTCCCAGTGCTAGCTGTGCTGCTGAGGGGCAGAGCAGGATGGCACAGGGAAGATGGGCATCCGCTGTTCCCTGGCTAGTGGATGCTGGCCCAGGATCTTAGTGCATCCCCAGAACTCTGGGTTAAGCCTTTTTTCTTTCTTTATTTGAGATGAGGGTCTCCCTATATAGTTCAGGCTGGCCTTGAACTCACTGTATAGGCCAGGCTGGCAAGCCTCCTGCCTCAGGCTCCCAAGTGTTGGGATTATAGTGGACTGGTTCATTGAAACCCCTTGGGATATAATACTCTTACTCAATTCATTCCTGAGGGCTGGTTGTAACTCAAGTTGGTTAGCAAAGGCTCAAGCTCCTCTACACAGCTTCAAAGTCTCTCTCCTGTGTACAGGCAGATCTCAGGGTCCTTCGACAGACACTGGCCCAGGATTTCTCAGCCACACACAGGAAAGGATGTTGTCATGTTCCTTCCAGAACTCTTTAAAGGTTAAATCTGTATCTGAGACCATCTGGAAGCACAAGTGGCTGGCATTTGGGTCATGACTAAAGACTTTGTTTGTAAGTTAAAACTAACATTCCGGTCATAACCCAAATTGTTCGTATGTCAGGCTAGTCATAACTCGAAGGTCCACTGTATGTGATACAGTTCTGTTCCCTAAGGCTTTGTTGTAGCTTTGCTGGGTTGTGACAGGGGCAAGGACAAGAGGGAAGGTACAGCCATGCCCACCCTATGTATTTTCTAGGGGCAGAACTGTAGCTGGCATCTTTCCTCCTACCCCAGCTTAGCCAGGCTGCCAAAGGGCCAGAGGAGTCTTAGAGAAATCCATTTCAACCTCCCACTAACAAGGCCAGAGCAAGAGGCTGCTCTCCAGGGCCATGTGCCGGGGAGGGACATTAGTGTAGACGGGGTGCTTTTATTTGAACCACATCACGAAGGCAATCCGAACACTGCCCATGCAGGATGGAAACAGTACTGGTTTATGGTTGTATCCAAGAAAAATATACGCCCTGATAGATGTAAGTGTCTAATCCACCCATCGGCTAGGGCTTAGAAAAATATTTACCTTTTAACATCTGTGCTGTATTTTCCCTGTGCAAACACACATCTGCTTGATGGAATGAATGCAGAGTTCAGATGGCTTGAAAGCAAGTTTTCTTAGTAACTGTATAGCTCTGTCTTCACACGGGCAGCCCTGAATTTGTGGTTGGGAGATTTTTCTCAGATCAACTCATTATTTGAAACAAATAGCTGTAGAGTTTATAAAAGGAAAAGCTCTAGGCAGTCCTGGTAATTGGATCTTTAATAACCTCTCACCTCTTAGTAAGTCACTCAGCGCAACAGTTTTTACATTCTCAGCTTGATTCCACAGCCAGCTAATCTCAGGGTAGGGGTGTGGTGTGTGAGCATGCGCCCTCCAGTGTGTGTGTGTGTGTGTGTGTGTGTGTGTGTGTGTG